AGCTCCGTTCCCTTCCCTACACACGCTCCAGCCCCTCAGTGTCTCTTGTCTGAGGGGCCCAGAACTGCCCCCAGTGTTGAACACATGTGGGATGGGACAGCAAGGAATTTGGGGGGACAGGACCCTGCCCCTCTGTGCCTGCAATCAGAGAAGCAACAAAGGGAGGATGGAGGGAACAGAGATGTAGGGTGAGGTCCTTCCAGGTTACAGGTGTATGTGAAGCAAAACCTCACAAATGTGATGGGTTACACTGATTTTATTTTTTCAAAGGACAGACTCAAACTTGCTGTGTTAGTTGTTTGTTTATCTGATCTGAGTTTGGTTCCTGCCTCTTCCCATGACCTGGGACAGGTCCTGGGGCTCCTCGAGGTGAGCTGGGGACAGTGCTGAGCTCCCGTGGGGGACATGGCAACGTTCAGGATGTCACCGAAGCCACATGTGCCCACCCCCTGCATTCTTCTTTCTAATGGTGGGATGTTCATTCCCTCTGCTTTGTGCTTCTTCCCCTAAAGCATGGAAACCTAATGCTTTGTCATCATCATTTCTGATGTTATCAGAGCAAAAACTTCTTTCCCTGGATGAGACTTAAATCTTGCTCCTATCCAAAGGAAAGGTTTGATGAAGAACTGATGATTTGGAGCTTTCTTGGACAAGTCGTGGTAAAATCAGGTCAGGTCATGGAAGCTGAAGCCCTGAACCTGTTGCTTGATGAGGAGATGCCTCGACACTCAGGTGCCACCTGCAGCCCAAATTCGGAGTAACCTGCCAAGAGCTGAATAAATCATGTGTGGAATCCAAATAGCTGGAAACAGAAGATAGCTGAGTCCTGGGGATGGCTGGAAGTCTGTCAGACATCCAAAACTCTCTGGTTTTAGCTCTTTTGAGTAGTTTTGAGGTTTTTCAGCCATCATTTATCCAGAGGACCTACCTTGGTATGCTGACGAGTTGGAGGCAGCTGCAGCTCAAGCACAGTTAATTTGCCTGCAAGCAAAATAATTTCCCTGCCTCCAAACTCCTGGAGAATTTCCCTAAAAATCATATTTTAAATGTAGAGAAGAAGTTTAGTGTGTCCTAGCTTGCAGAGATTTGGGGGAGGGAGGAGGACGAGCAGCCCTGCCTCTGTGCTCAGCTGCACATGGGGCGGATGGCAAAGGAAGAGGGACTCGGGGTTCCATCCAGGATGGAAGGTAACCTAAAAATAGAGCTGTGAGGGCCGGCTCTGTCCTGTCAGACCATTGTCTGGGATAAGGCAGTGTGGGACAGCCAGCAGCATTCCAGCCCTGGGTGGACATCCTGCTCCAGGAAATCTGCCGGGAGTCTGGTGCTCCCAGGGCTGGGTGATGGTGTCCCAGCTGTCCCCTGCTCAGGAGCATCCCCTGAGCCCTCCTTCCCTGTGCACACTGTGTCTGTGGGTGTCCCCATGGCTGGGGGGGTCCCCAGAGCCTGTTGGGGAGGGGATGGAGGCCTTTGGCCATGGTGGACGTGTTGCAGGGGCCAGGCCAGTGCTGTGTCCTGGGCTGTGCAGCTCCAGGGAGGAGTTGGGCATCCTCCCTCTCTGCCTTCTTGGAGCACAGTGGTTGCTGGCTCCCAGCTGGAGCAGCCCCAGAGCAGCTGTGGCTGCCCCATCCCAAGACCAGGTTGGGCAACCTGATCTACTGGAAGGTGTCCCTGCCCATGGCACGGGGATGGAATGAGATGATCTTTAAAGTCCCCTCTAACCCAGACCATTCCGTGATTCTATGATCCTCTCCTTTCCATGGCTGTCACCCCAGGGACCACTGTCCCGTCCAGCTTCTCCTCATTTGCTGGATTGGAGATGGACGTGGCTGCTTGAGATCTCAAGGCTTGGCTGAGGTTTGTGAGAGCCCAGCATGGGCTCCTGGGGACCACAGCAGGGTCAGGGATGGGGACAGGGACAGGCTGTGGGGCGGGGACACATCAGGCCAGGCTGCCACGGAGGTGGGACACCAAGGAGTCTCCATGGACTCAGGGCAGTTGTCCGTGTTGCCGCCATCTCCTGTGGTCCAGGTTTGGGTGGTTGGAGTTGAGCTGTCCTTGGCCCCGTGGACGTGGGGATTGTGCAGAGGAGGAGGGGTTGTTGTGGAACCAGCTCTGGGGTCACCGCGTGACACCTCCCAGCACCCAGGGGGCTGACCCGTCCCTTTGTCCTTTCCTCCCCAGGCCTGCCGCGATTTCCTGGACTTGGCCGAGAGCCACAGCCGGAAATGGCAGCGGCTGCTGCAGCATGAGCGGGAGCAGCGGATCCGGCTGGAGGAGACCATCGAGCAGTTAGCCAAGCAGCACAACAGCTTGGAGCGTGCCTGCCGCGGCGCCCCCGGCCTGGCCGCGCCCACCACCAGCATCTCCAGCACCGCCAAGGGTGAGCTCTGGGCCGGGAGGGACCCCCGGGCCGGGAGGGACCGCGGGATTCCCGCTGGGCTGCTCCCAGCGAGCCCAGGGCTCTGTATCCCCGTGGTGCTTTTCTAAACGGATCCCATTAGGCCGTAATTATTCCTAATCATCCTTCTCGGGGACTTGGATGTCCCCAAGATACAGATGCGGGAGAGGGCTGTGTCCCCAGCTCACTCACGCTGTTCCAGACTATTTTGGGAGCTTCGGCCCTCACCGGTGGGCACATCTCTGGGTGCTGGAGGGAGGCCACGGTGCCCTGGCACTGCCAAATTGGCTGCGTGGGGTGGCAGTGGAGCAGCCAGGGGCTTGTTTGCAGTAAGATCCAACAGCTTTGCAGATTCCTGCCAAATACCCTTCCCTGAGGGAAGCATTAGTTACAGCTGCACAAACTGCAAATAGTGCCGTGTCTTATTTTTAAAGGATGTAAGAGCCAAGGGAGAGAACAGCAGCAGCTGGGGGGTGATGGTGATGCCGGGCGCTGTCCTCACTCCTCTGTGGCCTCAAGTTGTGCCAGGGGAGCTCTAGGTTGGATATTAGGGAAGACTTCCATAGAAAGGGTTGTCAGGCATTGAAACAGGCTGCCCGGGGCAGTGGAGGAGTCCCCGTCTCTGGAGGGATTTCAAAGCCATGTGGATGTGGCACTTGGGGACACAGTCAGTGGTGACCTTGGCAGTGCTGGGGGATGGTTGGAGGCGATGGTCTCAGGGGGGTTTTCCAGCCTGAACGATTCTGTGGCACAGCTGGGGAGTGCAGGGTGGAAATGGCTGCAGGGACAGGCACAAACCCTGCTGAGGTGGTGACCCTGCTCCTCCGGAGAGTGCGGGAGTGATGTGGGAAAGGGGGTTGCTGAATCCCCCGGACGGGGCAGGAGCAGGGGAGCTGCAGGGACTCCACCAGTGCCTGCTGCCGATGTCGCAGCCATCGATCTCTCCCACCGCAGCAGAGAAATGTTTACAAATGCAGGGCTGGAAAACCCAAGGGCTGGGAAATCTCCCCGAGCATCACCTGAAACACGTGACTGTTTTTTCCTGCTCTGATCCCAGCCGGATTTCCCGGCGGACGGGGCGGTGCTGGAGCGGAGCCGCATCAGACGCGGTTGGGTGTGCGAGTCACGCCCTGTGTCAGCCCCGGGCAGCCCGGGGGCATTTCTGGGGGTGCTCCCGAGCATGGCAGGGGAGCCTTGTGTGCCTGGGTTGGGGAGCAGGGCACATCCTTGCTTTTAGGAGCTGGAAATTGGTATGGAATCCTCCCATTGTGGAGTGGGATGGAGGGGAAGGGGCCAGGCTCTAACGGGAGCAGGTGTGGAGGGGACACAGGGTGGGGGGCTCTGGGGACAGACCCTGCTCGGTGGGTTCTGAAGAGGAGCAGCAGCACCCGAGTGTCTCACAGTCCATGTGCCCACAGGGAGTGTGCAGCCTGCAAAGGGAGAGGCCAGTGATGAAGATGAGGAGACGGAGTATTTCGATGCCATGGAGGATGCACCAGCTTTTATCACTGTAACTGCTGACCCCAAACACCACAGGTACAACCCTCCAGCCCCACTGGGAGCGCTGGGAGAGTGGGGAGGGCAGGTTTGCCTGGCATCTGGCTCAGGCCCGAGGGCAGCATCCCCTCCCACGGGATCACTCTGTGGGCAAGTCCCTCAGAAAACTCCTCCCAAACTGATCCGAGCCTCTGCCCAGGGCTCCCTGCCTGGCTCCTCCTGCATTCCTGGAGCCAGCCAGGCTGAGGATGGCCCCAGCTATAGTGAAGAAGGTGAGGAAGGGCAGGTGTCAAGCCTGTGCTGTGGGAAAGTGGAATCCTCTGCCCCAGCAGCTGATGGGAGCAGGGACCTGGAGGGAGATCCCTCGGAGCACAGCAGAGGCAGGGAGCTCCTTGCCTTAACAGAATCATGGAATAGTTTAGTCTGAAAGGGACCTTAGAGCTTATCTTGCTCCACCCCCTACCATGGGCAGGGACACCTTCCACTAGCCCAGGCTGCTCCAAGCCCCGTCCAACCTGGCCTTG